AAGTGTCAGCTAAAATATTCTTAGGATGAGCCTTTTAGCATCGATGTATGAAGGTGATAGTAAGAATCCATTAGGATTTCATGGTATACTCTGAAAGTCTTTCATAGTATCTTCTAGCAAAATCCTTTATAAAGATCAATGAAATTAGCTCTCTGCCTGAATCATTTAGTCTTCCATGTCAAATTCTGGCAAGGATCCTGAAAAACTACTGTTTTCATTATATATGAACAAACTTATTTTATTAATACTAAATAGGAAATTGTGTGAAGAAAGGGAATGTTTCATGGGCTTAAAAAAAAAAGAACCCTTTTGGCTAAGATCAAGTGTAAAAACGTGGTCCACCTATGCTCAAATCTTTGGGGAAACACTCAAGACATAATGGTCAGGGGAAGCTGGTAAAGCCACTTCCCTTTGCTGATAGTCCAGAAACCAGCCTTGGAAAGGAATCGGTTTTTCTTCAGAAAAGATAGTCAAACTCTCTAGTATTCAGAGAAAGGCAAACCAAAACCTCACTGAGGTGCCATTTTTGTCCATTAGATTGGCAAAATTCTAGAAATTCCATCATATTCAGTGTTGGCAACTGTGTGGGACAACAGTTTCTTTCAAATGCTGTTTGGGAGAATGTAAACTGATATTGCCTCAGTATTGAAAGTGCACGTTCCCTTAAGCCACGGAATTCTACTTGGAGGAGTTGATCCTCCAGGAATATTCACAAATCTTTATAGAGATATAGCAACTAATATTCACTGGATGTTTACTTACCGGATGCCTTGCTCTGGGCTGAGTGCCTTTCATGCATGAACTCATTTAACCCACAATGCATATAGCTACATATTTATTGTACCCCTAGTCATGCATTTTTCTAGATTCTTAGGATATATCAGTAAACAAAACAAATGAACCTGCCTTCCAGCAGAGGAGGCAGACAATAAACATAATAAATGAAGCACAATAAATTAAAATGTGATAAGTTCTATGGGAAAATAACAAATAGAAAAAGGCAAAAAGGATCAGTAGTATTGAAGGGAGGCAGGAGACAGACTGCGGTGTTAAATAGAGGGTCAAAGTAAGTCTCAGTGAGCAGATGGGAGCAGAGCAATCCCAGAAGGAGAACTTGTCTGTGCAGGTATTTGGGGGAAGCATGGCCCAGGTAGAAGCAAAGCTCAGATAAAGAGCCTAGGGTGGGAGTATCCATGACTTGTCTTTGGAATAGTCAGGAGGCTGGTGTGGAAGAAGATGAACTTGAGAGGGAAAGGGGCGTGGGTCATAGAGGGCCTCTCACAAATCGTAGTGACTTGGGCTTTTACTCTTGAGTGCCGCGGAAGCCACTTTGAGGAGAAGAGTGACATGGTAAGATTTATATTTATAAGGATCTGGCTGTCGTATTAAGAACAGACTATCAAGGAACAAGACAGAAGCAAGGAGACCTGGTGAGAGGCCATTGCAGTAATTCAGGATGATGGTGGCAAGGGCCAGGATGGGAGCGCTGACACCTGAGTGCATTGTTAAATCTGGACCATGAAAGGGGTGGTGAGGGTTAGATGGAAAGAATGGAAAGGGATTAAGGGTTTCATATGTAATGAAGGCAAATAATACGCATTCTGTGAGCAAATAAGTGAGAAAGACTAGAAGTCTGAGAATGGAATTTTAGAACTCAGGATTTCGATCTTCAACTGTACATGTGAGTGGCTAAAGTGAAGGTCACGGACGGAGGGGAAAACCAGGGTAAGATCAGAAAAACTTTAAGAACTTCCGTGATGGTGACCAAAGCCTGAGATTGTTGCACAAAAGCAAGTGATACTAGTGAATTATAGAATTAAGCAATATGTATTATTTATACAAATTTTTTTAGCACAGAACAGTTTTAACCATTGTAATAAGAAGTAGTTGGAGGTGTGAGTCAACAGCAGATTGAAATTGTTTTGTTGGGAAGAAGAAGTGACACAAAAAAACATGGATGAACCTGGAGAACAGTATGTTACGTGAAGTAAGCCAGGCAGGGAAAGACAAATACCTCTTGTTCTCACAGGTGGGAGCTAAAAAAGTTGAGTTCATAGAAATAGAGAGTAGAATTGTGGTTATTAGAGGACAGGAAGGAGGGAAGGCCAGGAAGAGGTTGGTAATGGATACAAAGCTGGATAGATAGGAGAGTCAGTTCTAATGGTGCACAGCACTGTAGGATAACTGTAGTTAACAAAAATTTATTGTTATTTATTTGTTAACTGTAGTTAACAAAAATTTATTGTTATTTATTTTAACTGTAGTTAACAAAAATGTATTGTTATTTACTCATTTTTAAATAGCTAGACAACCAGATTTGAATGTCCCCAATACAAAGAAATGGTAAATGTCCGGGGTGATGGATATACTAATCACCCTCATTTGATTATTGTACCCTGTCTATATGTATTGAAATACCACTCTGTATCCGTAAATATGTACAATTACTGCATAAATTAAAAATAATTTTTTTAAGTGTTTCTACAATAAAAAAAGAATTGATGCAATGAAGCTGATAAAGTAGAATATCTAATACCCTAAGAATCCCACCTTTTGGCTCGGCATCTGTGGCTCAAGTGGCAAAGGTACCAGCCACATACACCTAACGTGGTGAGTTTGAATCCAGCCCCGGCCCACCAAACAACAATGACGGTTAAAACCAAAAAAGAAAAATAGCCAGGCTTTGTGGGGGGCACTTGTGGTCCCAGCTCCTTGGGAGGCTGAGGCAGGAGACTCGCTTGAGCCCAGGAGATGGCGGTTGCTGTGAGCTGTGATGCCACCGCACTTTACCCAGGGAGAGGCTCTGTCTCAAAAAAAAAAAAAAAAAAAAGAAAAAGAATCCCGTCTTTCCTATGTATACACACTTACAAACTTGAGTAAATCTGCAAAGCAGCAGTGTCTAGTGCGTGTAACATGAGGGCAACTGGGAAGCTGGGGCCGCATTATCTCTTACCTTCTTATTCTGACTTGGTTTCGGCTTTGAGAAATTTTTCCCTTTTTTATGAAGGAGAAACAATGGTGAAGACTCTATGGGACACTCATAAAGGGAGGTATGGACCTTTTCAGAATACCGCTGGAAATCTTCAACCTCCACGTCTCTATCCAACCTGTGTTTGTAACAGGAAAAAACAAAACTTTAAAAGTACTGACCAGGATTACATGATAAAATCTAGGGAAGTCAAAGAACTTCGGCAATTAAAAATGTGTGTGTGCGCGCATGTGTGTGAGATGGATCTTTACCCATCATCCAGTATTTTAACCGGAACCTTTTCCATTATCATTCAGCCAGTCAATACCTATGTGCCTGGTAACACAATCTGACCGATGAACGTCTTTTCCCCACCACACTCCGGATGAATGGGGCTGCCTCTGTGTTTCTTACTTAAATTCCTCCCTGCTTGTTCTTGTACTCAAGGAGCCTCTTTTGTCTTTGTTAAGGACCTAGATTAATGGCTTTGGTTAAAGTTACCAATGAAGACAACATTCTTAAGCTTCTAACAGGAATTTGAGTATGTCACTGTCTACTACAGCATGATGACAAGTACAAAAATAATTGCATCTAGTATTTCAAGCCTGCTGTATGCCAGGAGCTTTATGCACACGTCTCATTTATCCCTTATAACAAGTTTCCCAACCAGGCACTATTATAATGTGATCTGCATTTTTCGGATACAGAATGATGGCTTACTTAGCCAAGATCGTACAGAAATTAAAGGGCAAAAACACCTACCCACAAACCCAAGCATGACGGTGGCTCATGCACACACAAGCTTTTCATCACTGTCCCCCCAGGGCCTCTCGGATAAATTTCATAGTTCTCAGTTTCAATAATGTAAATGTTTTCACTATTGTTTTGATCTTCTTATCAATCATGCAGAGTAATTAATCATAAAAAGATTATACCTGGTAAAGTAGGCGTTACTTATACAGCCTGTGAAATTAGCATACTGGGTTCTGACGGGTGAGCCGCCGAAGTAAAACTTCTTTTCACCTGCTTGTGTCTGTTCGGCTTTTCCTTTGGCAGGATTCTTATTCACATGTTTGCTTTTATCTACCATCAGTTCATATCTGCAAAGGAAAAAGCTCCTTTATCTGCCACATAGCTAGCATTTTCCCTGAGTTCCACGCTAGGTTGGAGAACCAGGCTTTCTCATGGAATTGAAAAGGAACAGTGGCTTAATGAGAAGACAATGCAGTTACCAAGCTCTTCATGGGGCTCGGGATAAAATGGTTGAATATTTCTATATTCAAAAAGACTCTCCAAGCCAAGATTGGAATTTACACCCACAAAGTAAGAAGTTCAGATGATTAGCATCGACATTACGTCTTTGTGGATAAAACAGAATGTACCTCATGGTCATCATTGAATCACATTTGGGGAAGACCATTTTCCACTGCAAAGCACACTGTGTATGGTTTTGACGCTGCTTGGAAATAGGAGTCTAGAAAAGTCTATTAGTGATTTTTTTTTTTGATGCCAGAGCTCCACAAAAGTGGACACGGAATAGTAGGAATCTTCAAGAGAGGAGAGATTTATTTCTTTTTCCAATAATCTTTCTTATTATGAAAAAGAAATTAAATATTATGTATCTTTAAAGTCAGACCTTTTAAAATGTGGCCATGAGTGTAGTATCCTCAATTGTTCAATTCAGTGTCTAAACAAGACCAGTGTTTTTCATCTGACTCCTTCTATGGGCAAAAAACCCAGCACCCCATTTAGTGTGGTATGAGTAGGCTCTTCCCTCCAGGAGATTATAACTTTTATATTTCTTTTAAGTCATTGTACAGTGATTTATTTGACATGTCTTGAAAATAAACAGCAATGTTTTTGGTGAAGGTAAGTCATTCCAATATTTTTGTTTCCATAGCAGAGAAGCAATAGGATAGCCTGTTATTCATGCGTCGTTTGACAAAATCATGTTCTATAAATAGATGTCATGGAAAGAACAAAATTGAGGAGCTGTACCTGGTGGGTGAGACGGAGGTGATGATGAAGTGGGACAGCCCGTCATTGTACTGCTTCTCTGCCGACTGAACTTTGACCCCCTTGACGTCCATGATGACAGTACCGTTATCCAGTGAAATGGAGAACACGTCGGACTGAAATGCAAGCACAGGCCTTTAAGTCGGGAGTCTAGGGAACCAAATGATGGACACACTTTCAACAGTCACTTAATGGTAATGCTTAAAGGAACACATAGTGTGCAGGAAATTTGCTTATAAAATAATTTCTATCAATAACCAAAAAATTCCTGTATTGACATTGCTTATAAAATTAGACATGTTTCCATGGAAAAATGAATCTCCTGTATTTTGAACTAAACATTTTTGGTGGCTTTTTGTTATGCTGGGAGTGGTTATCCTAGTCTCAGTTACTTTCCTACTTTGAATCCTCTCATCCTTTTTGAAAAGACAATATTTGGGTCTCCTTGGGATGTAGCTAGATGACTTGGCAAGGGCAAATTTGTGAGTTTGGCTTTTTTTAATGTTTCACTTTTTCATCTGTGTGGCAGAAAAGGAAATTGTAAAAAATAAGAGTTAATCTTTCTTCCAAATTCTCTATTGCTTGTTCTTAAAATGTTGGCAAATGTTAATCTCGCTTCTCTTTCCTTATATGGGCACAAAACTCTAAAGTCTGCCCTCACGTTAGACTGTGTTCTGTGGACAAAAAGTGCTATTTAACTCACCAGGGTAATCTGAGGCAGGTTTGGGGGAAAATATCCTGCAAAATGTTTGGGGTGAATTCTCAAAGATGTTACTGATTTAAATTAAATTGGATATAAATGTGACAGGGGCAGGTCATATTTATGAAAAGTGAAAGCTGCCTTCATCAATTATATTATGACTTAGCCCATCCATGTATATATTGGTGACGACCTTTCCAGACATAGATCTTAGGGTCACCACAGTGTGTCTCCCATCAATTAGATCTTAGGGTCACCAATCTTCAATTGACCTTAGTTCATTCTTAGAATGAGGTATTTTTAGAAGCAGAGTTCACATGTTCTATGGCAAATCCAGGAACAGAGATGTATAATCTGCAATTCCTTGGATAATCTTGGATATCTGGGTGCCAAAAAAAGTGAATATAGTGTTTTGATGGTTATAAAATGCTTATACTCTTCTATAGTATATTCTTTATACTCCTTTATAAATTAAATCACAAATGTGTTTATTCATAACATACAAATAGGGGTTCTTAAACTTTATCATGTCAGAAGCACCTTTGGATTTTTAGTGATACATAAGAATCCCTTCATAAAATAATGTCTTAAAATGCACGAAACAAAATACAGGGTGGCCATAAAGTTCATGTGCAATTTAAAATTCTGTGCAATTTAAAATTGCCTGTGAACTTTATGGCCACCCTGTATACAAAAGAATCAATATGAAAAAGATAACTGCAGTCACATGTTTATTGCAGCACTATTCACAATAGCAAAGGTGTGGACACAACTTAAGTGTCTGTCAACAGAGGATTGGATGAAGAGAACATGTATATACATACAACTGAATGCTATTCAGCCATAAAAAAGAATGAAATTATGTCTTTTGAAGCAACATGAATGGAATTAGAAGCCGTTATCTTAAGGGAAACAATTCAGACACAGAAAGACAAATACCGAATGTTCTCACTTACAAGTGGGAGCCAAATAGTGTGTTCACATGAAAGTGGAGTGGGATAATGGACAGTGGATGCTCGATGGGGTGGGGATGGGGGTGGGGGAGGGGGATGGATGATGGGAGGTGCTTGGTGGCTATAGTGTGCTTTGCTCCAGTGATGGACGCACTGGAGGCCCTGACTTCACCACAGTGGCATACATCAACACAGCAAAACTATGCTTGTACCCCACGAATATATACAAATAAATAAATAAAAATAAATTGAATGAAAGAAAATGTGTAAGGACACAAAGAAAACCAATTACATTGAAATAAGTTTTTAAACTATTAAAACAGTAAATCTGTGATATAGGAATACATGTACACTTTTAAATTAAGGCATTAAATAATAAGATCTAATGGTGGATCTATTAGATAACTACTATAATTTAGAAATAGCAATGACATTTTGAGATATCTGTGATAATTACAGCATAAAACAAAAAATATCTGTGATTTCTATTAATGACAAAGTCACAGGTACTGCCGATACTACTGTAGTTTGTTGCCTACATTTACGATGAAAGGAAATGATACATTTCAATTACACAAAATAAAGAAAGATGTAATTTTCCCATCCCCCAAACTTGCAGACTCCCCTGAATTTTGTCCATGAACCCTTTGGGGGGCGGTGGGTCTGTGAATTCTAGGTTAAGCACTCCCAGCATATAATATAGGTATTTAATAGTTTATAAAGTATCTGAAATAACTTTATGGACATGTGAGTTAAAATTAATATGAAATTTATGAAAATTCATATTAATTCATAAAATCATATTAACTTATGAAAATTAAGATGAATTTAACATGCGTAAAAATTATTTTTAATAGATAAGACAATTATCACAAAGGAATTTCCTTGGGGAAAAACAAATACTTACCCCTGAAGCATAATAGAATAGTAACCCACTTGGCTGTAATGTTCGGAAATTAAAACCTCCTTCAAAGCCGTCAAAGAAAGATATTTTCTGAACTGAAGCAATGAAACTCTGCCCATTGAAATACACTCTGCGAGATATCTGTGTGGCAAAAGAAGTGAATATAGTGTTTTGATGGTTATCAAATGCTTAAAATGCGAAAATTTCACATCTGGAAGGCCTTGCCTCTTAGTTGCTATGTAAATAGTTTGGGTTTCAACTTTTGGTTTATGCTGGAATTCAGTTTCTCTGCTTTCTCCAGCCTGAATGACACTCATGCCCCTTTTCTGGGCTTCAGATGACCCCCTTATTAAACTGAAGCAAATGAACAAGTTATGGATTCTTCTTTCTGCTAGTGGCAGAAAGGAACCCAATGTGTACCTAGGATCATAGAGAAATAGAAAAGAAATTTTTCAGTTTTTGAAAGCGGTAAGTTTTATCTCTGCTTATTTAAAAGCATTTGACTGAATGCTTCTTACAAGAGAGTCTTCTGGGCATCCATAACCAACTCCCAGGGTTTCTGTCTGTTCCAATAAATTGAAATCTTTCTTTTGGAACTGGAAACCCTTCATGCATCCTCTGAAGTTGATATCTAGGGGAAGGTGTGTCCTTAGGGTCCTGGAAAAGAAAAGTCAGTCGTCAGTGATATAGCCATGGTGATGATGGTGCTGTCACTCTACACATGAAGTCTATGAAATCTGGGTTTATAGACACTTGTAATGGCCTTATAATCATTCACATTCTCATGCTTTCTTTGATAGTACAGAGTAATGTCTAATCTTTGCCTACAGAGAAGTTTTGTTCTGAGGCAAGCCAATCTGTTTACTTCTTTATAGTTGTCAGCAATCCTGTAACTTACATTATCCCATTTTATCTCTATAACCATTTGGTGAGATTAGGAGGGATCACAAGGAATTGACGTATTATAGGTCCAAAATAGTCAATTTTAGACAATTCTGTAGGTTTTAGCCTATAAAATGAAACTAAGAGACAAGTT